ATTTTCTTTTTCTTCTTCCTCTTTTTCTTCTTCTTCTTCTCCTTTTTCTTCTTTTTTCTTCGCCATTTTCTTTTTTCTTCTTCGTTTTTTTTTTCTTTTCTTCTTTCTTCTTCTTTTTTTTGTTTTTCTTCTTCGTTTTCTTCTCCTTTTTCTTCTTCTTTTTCTTGTTCCACTTCTTCTTCTTTTTTCTTCTTCTCCTTCTTCGTCAGACTTTTCTTTTTCTTCTTCTTCTTCATCTTTTTCTTTTTTCATCTTTTTCTTCTTCATTTTTTCTTTCTCTTCTTCTTTTTCTTCGCCTTTTTCTTCTCCTTTTTCTTCTTCTTCTTCTTTTTTGTTCTTCTTTTTTTTCTCCATCTTCCTTTTTCTTCTTCGTTTTCTTCTTCTTTCTTCTTCTTCTCCTTTTTCTTCTTCCTCTTCTTCTTCTTTTTTCTTCTTCGTTTTCTACTGCTCCTCCTCCTTCCTCTTCTTCTTCTTCTTCTTCTTCTTCTTCTTCAGCCTTTTCTTTTAAAGCCAAAAAGAATCAAATTGAGAGAAAAAAAAATGAAGAAAAATTAATGAAGGAAAAATGTAAAGGAATTTCTAAACTACAATAGAGAAAAAATTCTTATTTATAATTTTCCTTCAGATCTCAGGGTTGATGATGAATCAAGGATTCCATGAATGTGTCGATTTAGTGAGATTCACTCTGTACATGAGGTATAGGGTGACAGTGTAAGAGGAACAGTAGTTTATGGTGGTGGGGGTATGTGCTTAACCCTAACGGTTAACCCTAGACTTGAGTCGGTTCCACAGATCAGTGTTTCACGGGTTGGGGGCTGTTCGAGTGGAACTTACTTCTCACCTACGGAATACGAAGGGAATGAGGCTGGTTCATTACAATACGGATAGCATGGCGGCTCCTAGTCGGGAAGGTTAAAAGTGGTGGAACCAAGGAATATATCCACGTCCCGAGGCGACATGGCACATAAAAAAGGTTTACTTGTGATTTCAAAAAGATTTTTTAAAATACGTCGTATTTAGTAATTCATTTTTTATACAGTGCAATTGTAAAATCCTTATCCATTATAGTAAAAACTATTTAAGTCGAATCAACTATGCTGTTTTATTTGATAAAGGTTGAAAATCTCTCTCTCTCTCTCTCTCTCTATCTATCTATCTATCTATCTATCTATCTATCTCAATCTTTTCACATCTATCTATCTATCTATCTATCTATCTCTCTATCTATCTATCTATCTATCTATCTCAGTCTGTTCACATCTATCTATCTATCTATCTATCTATCTATCTATCTATAAGTTTCTTTTTTTACATGACTAACTTTAGTTTTGATTTTCTTTAAACTGGTATCCCCCTCCCCCTCTCTCTCTCCCCCTCTCTCTCCCTCTCCCCCCTCTCTCTCTCTCTCTCTCTGGCACTGTTGGCTGAAAATCTAAGAGAAGGATTAGTCTAGATTCAAAACTGTGCAGAATGCATCAGGAAACACTCCACCATATTTCCCCAAGACTAGTCACCTCAATTCATAGATATTTAATGTAAATGGGACTTGCGGAAAACAGTCCTCGCCAGCGTCCTGAATGGACACGACATTAAAAGAATTCTTTTTTTAAATGTAAAAAAAAATGGCGACATTAATTTTAGACTTTTTTTTCCATTTACACCCGTAAAAGTAAGAAAGAATGAATCGAAATATAGAGTCTCTCCCCAGCAATTCACGCTGCTTATATTAATGGCTGTAGAATGTAACGACCTGATCACAGAAAGAGGGATAGGATGAAAACTATACTACTTGGCCAAAATTTATACTGAAAATGCTTCAGTTAAACAATTCAAACAATTTAAATGATTTAGACTTTTCCAGATATTACGATTCCCAATTGTATGTAATGAAACCAAACACACGCAAAAACGAGTCCAGAATATTGACTAGGGTGTGGCACAGAATGGGCGAAAAACACAATTGGTAAAGCCTATTTTTGAGGAGAGATTTTGTAGTGCACGGCATTCTTCACTTAAATTTCAGTCGAAGATATCTAAAGAGGAAAGTGATGAAAGCGTAATTTTTATTTTTTTATTCTAAGAAATTTACAAATAAGACCGAAGACATCATTATTTTGTTGCCAGAAAAATAAAATCAATTTTTGTCGTAAAGTTTAATTTGAAATTATTACACATTTGAGAATTAGTAAAAATGTATTTATCTAGTCATTAAAAAAAAAATCAACTGAATTTACCCGAAAGGGGGATGAGTGTAAAAAGACTACACCCAGCCCCAATCCTACTGAATGCGAGTTTGAAGAGATATTCATTAAAAAATGCACATGATAGATACAAAACTGTTTGAGTGACACACACACGCACGCGCACAGACACACACACACACACATGTACAGACGCATACACGCACGCGCGTGCGCACAAAGAGAAAATATTTGTGACGGGAGATAGTAAGAGACTGAGATAGACACAAATAAGTAAATTTTAATAAACAGGAACAAAATGACACGCCGTTAATATATATATATATATATATATATATATATAGAGAGAGAGAGAGAGAGAGAGATCTTAGATAGATAGATAGATAGATAGATAGATAGATAGATAGATAGATAGATAGATAGATAGATACGAACTCTTTCATAGAGAGATATGAATAGGCTGAGATATGATAGATAAATAGACAGATAGATAGATATGAATAGACCGAGATAGATAGATAGATAGATAGATAGATAGATAGATAGATAGATAGATAGATAGATAGATAGATAGATATGAATAGACCGAGATAGATACATATGAACAGACCAAGATAAATAGATATAAACAGACTGAGATATATATATATAGATAGATAGATAGATAGATAGATAGATAGATAGATAGATAGATAGTTAGTGCTTATAAATGCTTAACTGCGTTTATAACCACGACAAAAACGCGCCGACAAGAAAAATGTGTGCATGTTAATAACAATTTACCTTTACAAGTATATAGAGTCCATAATGGTTTTAATGCTGACAAATTTTGCAGCTGGAATTGAAGAAAACTTATACTTGTTCACTGCCGTCAGAAAGCTGCTCAAGAATATGAGATCACCAATAGATACATTTAAATATATAATTAGATTAAAAGCATTAGTTCTGTTTCATCTTCAAGCGAATTTTGGAATTCGCTTGAAGATGAAAAAGAACTAATCCTTTTAATTTTTAAAACATGGTTATTACTGTGTAGTAAAGAAACCATATTTTAAATCAGTTAATTTATAATATATATATATATATATATATATATATATATATATATATATATATATATATTAAATTACTGATACTTCCTTGTTTTGAAGAGTAGACGGATGGGACCGTCTACAAAACTCTTGAGTCGGGATGCTGAATGTAGCATCAAATAGCTAAGTGACAAACTTTTCCTGATATTAATCCTATATATATACATATACATAATATCTTACAATAATTGCGCAACTCAAAAATATATATATATATATATATATATATATATATATATATATATATATATATATATATATATATATATATATATATATATATATATATATATATATATATATATATATATATATGAAAAGTGTGTATCTCTCTATATGGGTGTGTGTAATATATTATATATATAATTATTTATATATTATATGGGCGGTACTTATGAGAAAGCGCTCAATATCAGAGATAGAGCTAACATATTTGGTTGGATAGATTGAGTTTGTGACCCTGGGTTTCACGCTTTTGCGATCGTCAGATAAACTCTCTCTCTCTATCTCTCTCTGTCTCTCTCCCTCTCTCTCTCTGTCTCTGTCTGTCTGTCTGTCTGTCTCTCTCTCTCTCTCTCTCTCTCTCTATATATATATATATATATATATATATATATATATATATAGTAGAGAATCTAAATGAAATAATAATAAAAAAAACGAAAGAATATTAATCTACAATCCAGTGTGTCTGAAGATTTGAATTTTTTAATATTTTTTTATTGTTCAATATATATATATATATATATATATATATATATATATATATAGCATACCTAGCTAAAAGGTGTTTTTCCTAATGTAAGGAGAACGCAGGTACATGTTTTTTTAAGATTTTCGAATTGCCCAGATCAGAAAAGTTTTAATTACAGTTTAAATAATTAAAAAAATATAACATAATCCCAGAAACAAGGATATCAACTTAACCACATATTAAATACAAGTAATAATAATAATAATAATAATAATAATAATAATAATAATAATAATAATAATAATAATTAGGACCTGGAAGGAAATGTCTATGCTTAGGAAATGAAAGGAAATACTACTACTACCACTACTACTATTACTAATACTAATACTACTACTACTAATAATAATAATTAAGTGCGCGATTTCAGAAAACAATAAAAAATGACAATGTTAAACAATATTTCGACAGTGTCTCTGTCTTCAAGTTATATGTCTTTTATTTTGATAAAGCATAAAAAAATATATATAATTCTACAAAAATTTATTAAAAAATATTAAAAATTATTATTATTAAAAATTAATAATAATAATAAATATTGTATTTAGTGGATGCGCGTGTTTCACAAGACATTTTTACATATTCGCCTCTGTGAGTATGTGTGTGTGTGTGTCGCGCGCGTGTGTGTGTGTTTATGCATGTGTAAATTTCGACAATCAAAAAGATATTTATTGTAATTAACAAAATAATTGCGTAACATTATTAATATTTAATAGTTGCAGACAATTGAGTACAAGCAAAGTAGCAAGGAGAAGATATGATGAACTGAGGTGTTGTTTATTCTATACATGTGCAATGGTTGTGTTAGAAAGAAAGAAAGAAAGAAAACAGGAAGAAAGAAAGAAGAAACGAAAGAGAGAAAAATGGGTTTACCCCTTTCTCTCTTTCTTTTGTCCCCTATCTTTCTTTCTTTCTTTTTCTTCTTTTCTTTCTTTTCTTTCTTTCTTTCTTTCTTCAGGTAATTTTTAAATTTTTTACTAATATCTTCCATACCTAATTATTTATTTTTCATTCCTCCTCCACAGTTGTTTCTTTATTTCGATAAATTGATAGACATATATTAGAGAGAGGGCGAAAAGAGAGAAAAAGAGGGAAAGAGAGACATCGAGAGAGAGAGAAAGAGAGAGAGAGAGAGGATAGAAAAGAAAGCGATATACATTACATTGCACTCCGAGGTGACGCTATGGTTAACAAGTTGGTGTCGCAAGGCAAATAATTCCATCCTTACCGAGCGCTCTGCTACTGGGGCCTTGTGTCTTACAAGGTGAGCTAGGTAACTAATAAGGAAGATATGCTTTACGCCTTAGTTTTACCTATCGTCTCAACTCTTTACCTTCTGACCTCTTCCTTTACCCAATCTGACCCCCACCACCCACTTGGATAAGAAGACCGACCATCACTTGCAATCACGCATTTCTGCTTCTGCCATTTTGCTTGTCTATCAAGAGGGGAGGCCAATAAAAATAGACAAATATTCGAAAGGGTGCGAACCGCACACACACACACACACACACACACACACACACACACACACACACACACACACACACACACACACAAATACGCGCACGCGCACGGGCGTACACACAAACTCAGAGACGGGAACACACGAATGCAAAAATTCTGACACAGACAAATGCGTACACACGCGCCCATGCGCAGATATGCATAAGAGATAAAAATTAGTCATGTACACACATACATAAACACACACACACACACACACACACACACACACACACACACACACACACATATATATGCACAAAATACATTTATGAAAAATCACATATATATTAGACAGCAACACAAATTACACAAATACACATAAATAAATCATGTGTATATACTAATAAAAAGAATAAGATACAGTCAGTACAAGAGGTATTATATATATATATATATATATATATATATATAAATATATGTGTGTGAGTTTATGTAGATAGACAGACAGATAGATAGATAGATAGATTTGAATAGACTGAAATAAAATGATATAGATAGATAGATAAATAGATAGATAGATAGATAGATAGATAGACAGACAGACAGACAGACAGACAAAACAATTGCAACAGATCTGTGCATTGAAACAGTTACAGATTTTTCATATATATAATATGATAAAAATATACTTTTAAGTTATGGCGTATTCATAGATAAAATGCTCAACAAATATGGCGTATGTAAATGTAAGCTATATACATATTTATACACACACATATATATATATATATATTCAGTCATAGAGAGAGAGCGATGTGCTAATATTTTTAACGCCATACTATACAATAAACAAGATTAATATCGATTTATATATATATATATATATATATATATATATATATATATATATATATATATATATATATATATATATATGTATGTATGTATAAAGATTGATCTGAGATTGTGACCCTGGGTTCCACGCTATTTGCGATCGCTAGAATAAGTACCTCTCATCTAAAATATATAAATAATATATATAAGAAATTGCATATATATATATATATATATATATATATATATATATATATATATATATATATATATATATATATATGCAATTTTTTTTTTTAGGTCTATTGTCAGCTTCGTCCGTGGCATTTATTTGCACCGACTGAGTGTATCAATAGTTCCGTAAAAGTGTGGATGGTTCTGCACAAGACTTCACCACTTTAATCAAATCAATTGTGTGGGTTTTTCTGGCGGTTTACCTTGATATATATATATATATATATATATATATATATATATAGAGAGAGAGAGAGAGAGAGAGAGAGAGAGAGAGTTCTTATTTCTTAACTGTATACGGTTATGCACAATTAACACAAGGTCATTATCTAACGATAAGATCATTATCTATCTGTCTATCTATCTATCTATCTATCTATCTATCTATATATATATATATATATATATATATTGGATCTACCTTTAGTACATATTACAGACAACTATGAATGACACCCTTGAAAATGGCTAAAGAATTGTCCGAAAATACATGTAAGAAGAGACTGTGGACAATTTTTCCACTCCTCTACTCACAACAAAAATTCCTCAAATTCTCCTTGTCTGGCATATTCAACGAAACATGTTTAAAAGAATAGTTGCAGCCAAATATACATTATACACATACATACATACATACATACATACATATATATATATATATATATATATATATATATGTATGTATGTGTGTGTGTGTGTGTCTGTGTGTGTGCGTATGTGTATATGTGCGAGTGTATGTGCGTGTGTGTGTGGAGAAAGAGAGAGAGAGAGATATTATATGGTTCAAAATGTGCTTTCTGTCTGTGTGAAAGAAGAGTTCCCTGTAATGGAGATAGAGCCTTTACAGATGTAAATATAATCCGATTGGTCATAGAAATCGACATACCATGATGATTGTTAGTTTCACGCTTCAAGCGATCATCAGACCATTTGTTACGCATGGTCTCGTCGTAACAAAGCGTGAAGCTGATAGTCAATATGCAAATTTGATTGTTTTGTCATGTCTGGCCCTCTCACATTATCTATCTATCTATCTATCTATCTATCTATCTATCTATCTATCTATCTATCTATCTATCTGTCTCACTCTGTTCTCATCTATCTATCTATCTATCTATCTATCTATCTATCTGTCTGTCTGTCTGTCTCACTCTGTTCTCATCTATCTATCTATCTATCTATCTATCTATCTGTCTGTCTCACTCTGTTCTCATCTATCTATCTATCTATCTATCTATCTATCTCTCTCTCTCTCTCTATATATATATATATATATATATATATATATATATATATATATGATTATAAGAGTAAAATTTGTCACTTAGCTGATTAATGTTGTCTTCAGCATCCCGACTCAGAGCTTCGTAGACAGGCTTGTCTGACCAGTCTTCAGGAGATATCAACAATTTACTGCTTATATTTCCCGATTTTTTACTTTCCTTTTATACACTTATCATTGATGTAAGCAATATATATATATATATATATATATATATATATATATATATATATATATATAAGTATAAGTGCGCAGGTATGCAGAAAATAGAAAAGAGCACGTTGAGTGTATAATCCGGAGTTCCTTAGTATTTTTGTTTTTATTTTTAAGAAGACCGTGCTCCATACAGAAGTAGGGCTTATATTATAATATTTTTTGTTTAAAATTCGTTATTGTGGGAGTGGCTAGGCGAGTTATCTTCGTTAAGTGGTCAGAGAGTTAATTCTTATCAATAGATTCATCATCTTCTGAGATTTTGTAACGGAGCATGCCTAAAAACACACGTAAACCGAGAGATAGCTTATTCCTAAAATTTCGCTTGAAGATGAAACGGGACTAAACACCTCAATTCAACTTAATTTTAATAATTATTTCAATGGTTTCGGCTCTCGTTTTTGAAACATGAGAACTCTTATGTAAAGAAGGAATCATATTTTTAAACAAAAATATTATATATATATATATATATATATATATATATATAGATAGATAGATAGATAGATAGATAGATAGATAGATTAGATAGATTATAGGTTATTTCTGGCTTTGTTACAACGTTCTTTATGCAGAATTAAGACTTGTTCTTCGGTAGATGATTTTAAGAAATTACTTGCGCAATTCGGAAATATGCGATGGGGTGTTCTTAATATTTTATGTGAGCTTCGTGGGATGACTATTTCTCTGATTCATTTCAGTAACAATTTGTCTCCGGTTTCTAAATAAACTGGCCGATATTGAAAATGTTTTAAAACTGATCCCACGATGCTTCTTGCTATAGGAAAGGAATGGGAAAAAAAACTAACCTTTAAAAAAGTTCGACATTCCGAACTCCATCTCTGCAAGAAGGACGTTGTTACTGTCGGAAATCGCTTATTTACAACAAATGATAAAACAAATAAGCTACAGCCAAAATCAAACACCCTATATATAACGTCACACACTACGAAATGGACAAAGTCCGACAATTATTGCAAGATATTTTCTGTTTACACGTTATTTTTATAGATACAAATATTTAAATACATGCTCTGTTTATAATAAACGGCATTAACATCAATTACCGGCCTGAACGACCGAAACAATTTTCATAGAAAATATGTGTCCTCCGACAGGAATCGAACCTGTATCCTACACAGAACCGCCATATAACCTGACATAATATACCAATGTGGCTACAGAAGACGCATATGGTTAGCAAAGTCGATTTTATTCCTTTTAAACTACAATTCTTCATGATTTTCCTCGAACGTCCGTATCTGCTCGAAGCGTGTCTTAACGTAAACAAATGACGTCTCACACTACGAAATGGACAAAATCCGACAATTATTTTAATATATTTTATTGTTATACGTTATTTATAGAGACAAAAATATTCAAGTAAATGCTGTGTTTTATAATAAACAGTATTAACAACATTTATCAGCCTGTTAGGTACGCTTCAAGCAGATATGAATGTTCGAGACAGATCATGGAAAATTGTAGTTTAAAAGCAGTAAAACCTACCTTGCTTACCAGACTCTTCCTCTGTAGCTAAATGTCAGGCAACATGACGGTTCCATGTAGGATACAGGTTCGATTCCTGTCGGACGACACATATTTTCTATGAAAATTTCTCAGACACTCAGGCCGGTAAATGTTGTTAATACTGTTTATTATAAACAGAGCATTTACTTAAATAATATTTATATCTATAAAAAATAACGTATAAACAGTATATATATATATATATATATATATATATATAATTATTTATTTAAAATTATAACATAAATATGTTATAAAATCACTACAAAAATAGCCATTTTGTTTCAACACCTCTGGTGTCTTATCAAGTGATGGTGTCGAATGTAGATTGTGGAATAAAGGTTTTAAGAGGTTCAAATTAATTGACCACCCCTCATAAGGGGAAACACTGTTACATGAGCTGAAATGACCA